AAAACCTCATCGCCCTCTGCAACAATTTTTTTATAGACAATCCGAGAGAGAAAAGCGAGAGAATTTGAAGCCTTCAACTAATACTGATATAATTAAAGTTTTTGGAAAACATAATAAAAGTCCTCTGCCTTTAGGACTTTCAGTATATGATTTTCAATATAAAAAACTGCAAAATAAATGCATGTTTATAAATGTCGATTCTTTGAGTGATAGATGCTGCATTCTTCGAGACTTGTCAATATGCATTGTACACAATATTTTAGAATTAGATAATTCTTATTATTTAGTAATTACAAAATTTGAAATCGTTGAAGATTTTTATGATGTCGGTGTCCCTTCTTCATTAATCGGTATATTTAAATGTTCCGCATTGTGTACCGATTTTAGTACTGTATCTATTAGCGATGTAAAGGCCAAATGTTACTTGAAGCCGTGCTGGATAGTTAACAATAATGATGAAGGTTCAGATTCCAGTATTATTGAAGCTGATGAACCTATCGTTGGAAAATATATTGTTTCAGTTCTTTTATAAAAATATTAATCATTTTCTTCATTGTGTTTCCATGTTATCTTCCAACATGATATATTTATATGTATAGATTTTTTATGATGTTTGTTAAATGCAAAGCTTTAAGTAAATTAAATATCTTTCTATATCTGTATAACAAAAGTATTTGAATGCATAGTATTTATTCTGTTATAAACTGTTATGTTAATATTTCGTATTCTTTTATAAAATGTTTAGATGATACATATATTATACATTAGTGTTGTTGTTATTAAAAGACTTAGTTATTAATATGATATATAATATTAATATATTATTATTATAAAGATATGTGTTCTATATTATTATTACTAGAATATGGACAAAAAGAAAAAAGAAATGCAAAAGAAACGTCGACAACTCGGCCGTACTAATTTCGTACTGAGTACGCATCGAACAGGACTATCAAAACGGTAAATATTTCTATATGTTATGTATGTATATGTACTTATTGCTTTTAAAATATCATTTATCAAGTATCGTTTTCATCAAGGGGGGAAATATTATATTCTCTCTAATAACTTTATAATCTATATATTTCTACTGATATATTTTGTAATGCACAGTATCAANAATTATAAAGTTATCAAATTTATTTGTGTAAACTATATACATTTTATAAACCTGCGTATAATTTCTAAAATATTTAATTTGAAAGAACTATCAAGTTTTAGAAATAATGAAGAAAAAAATGTTTATTTGAATATATTTAATTGAGATATACATTTTCCGAAGTTTTAAAATTTTCTTAACTCATCAAACTTGCACTTTTTTCGTTTTATAGTATATTTACAACAAATATGTATAAATTTTTTTTCAAGAATTATATTTCAAAACTTTGAACTAATAATTTTATAGCTTTTCAAGTTTATTTTAAGTTCCTCTTTCATAAGAAAAATTTTATCACTGCAGTTTGAAACTAATAAAGGATAGTAATAAAAAAAAGCAAAATATATCCAATTTTATAAGAAGAATATTATCACCGCAGTTTGAAAGTAATAAAGAACAGCAATAAAAAAAAGTAAAATATATCCAATTTTATATTCAATGTAAGCAGGAAGAGAAAAACTTATTATACTTTGTTGTATTTTGTATAAAGAATCCAAACAAATTTACAGCGTAAGTTTGTCTTTAAAATTTAGGCTTAACAATTATTTTTTACATTAAAAACCAAACTTTTTCTTGTTTTCATTTTTTCAATGTGTATTGAAACTTGGGTGTATATAAATTTTAGATATAAATTTTCTCTTTTTTCTTTCTTTTGAAATTATCTTATAATTTACGTAAAAAAAT